GGCAATATACGTTCTGCTGGACGTAAAACTTCACCAGGTAAGTAATTTACCTATTGAGCTCAAAACATGCACATGTATTAGACATGCTTATATCATGTTCATTCTTTCAGTTCTACACGTAGATCTACGTACATTCCCTGTATTTTAACTTTACTTATCTAATTATATGTGATGTCAGCTCAATATATCTACGTGAGCGAGTTTAGTATTACGCCGCACTCGGCAATATTCCAGCTATATGGCGGTATTTATCCAATTATACCAGTACATCTTTTTATCATTTTATTACCATTAAAACAATTATAACATATACTTTACACTCATAGCTTTGTGTAATAATTTAGGTAATCAATTATTGAACCTCTTAGCCTTACAATGCATCGACACAAGTCACGTATAACATTTCTAAAAGAATCATTGTTTCAATTATTTGATTTACAGATACGTATTGTGGATCCACTGACTTGTTGGAGATTGACAAGAGGCTTGGCTTGGTAATCATTTATAGTTACACCATACCATGCTCCTAATTTCATTAAAGGAAATCTTAAAACAATATTTTTTATTCATCAGCATTTAGTCAAAAACAAGTAAACACTAAATAGATACATAGAATAAATTTCTTTATCTTTGTGAAAAATATAATCACTCAAAATGTAACAGTGCGTGGATTCCAGTGTAACCATAAGTTTAACATATGTTATATATGGGATTACACTTTCATAAGTTAAGATATGTTGATATGTTTTTCAGTTCCAAGAAAAGACCCAGTTTTCTGTCCGCACTGCCAGTCGTTTGTTTCAAGGAAACAAGGAATCGTCTGGAATGGACGGCAGTTTCTCATCAGGTTAGTCCAAAATACTTCACTTCATAGGTTTCATTTAACGACTTCAGTTTGATCTATCCCATTGCTATCCATCATATATCAATAATGAATATATTTAATTATTGTAATTTGTTTGATTGGCATTTAGAAGTTGGTGACAAATAAGAAAGTAAGAGAGTTTATGGATAACAACTTCTTTATTATATATGATGCGACGTTTCGGTATGGATTCTTATACCGTTGTCGAGCAAGAGTGTAATTATTGTATACCAGATACGTAACTGTAACTGAAAGTGAATAAGTTGTGTTACACATTTTACAGTTTTAAATTAAATTAAAGGTCACATAAAAAAAATAATATTTTATGTTACTATATTGCTGGGAATGTTTCCTTAGAGAGTTGATAAAACTAAGAAATACCAACGATTTTTCATTCATGGGAAATGTTAGGTTTTGTATGCTTTTCTCAGTTGAGTTGGTCATTTCAATTTGAATAAGATCACATATATAATTATGTGTTACATTCAGTGTTTAAACATAATTCGTATCTATTTAAAAATATGTATGTACCGTTTTACATATGCTTCGATTTCAATTGGCGATTTGGTAGTAGATGTTACCTTGAATATGAGTACAGTAACAGTAATAAATATTACAACAATTTGCTTCAGAATACTGGGTTGGCTGCTATTTTCTGGTACCAATCAATAAAATAAGTGACATGTCAAATGGAAGATACAATATACATGTATACTACATATCTTTCCTTTGTGATTGTGAAAAAAATATTTTGGTTACATATACAAATTAGTCGTTCTAATTATATAATTTCATTGTGATCAGATGTACCACTGTGCATGTTTATGAATATGTATAAATGTGTTACTTTGGCTGTTTTGCAGTTTTACTAAGCATTGTATGTATTGTATTTGCAGGATGATGAAGAGTCTGTGTGGATGATAAGGATGGCAACGATGTTGTGCCAGACATCAACCAGGACTCTTCATATTCACCCACAAATCTTAAGTAGAGCATACACCATCTGTTTGCGGTTGTGGACTGGTTCAAGCCTTGTTGTAATCAACTTGGTTATATTTCCCCTTTCTGTGTGGCAAAACTCAGGCTCAACTCAAGGCTCTGCGTCATATGTACCACATCAGAGGATTGTTGGCTGCTCAGTGTGAGTGCAACAGAAGCTTCATGGTTGTAAGCAAGTTGCCAAGTCTTTACTATGTGAGATTGTTAGTGTGTATATGTTAAGATACATTGAGACAGCTTCAAATGTACACTTCATGTATATGTATATGGGCCCATGACCTTTCATACAATAAACATTTGAATTTGAATTTGAAATCTGTTTTATAAATACCACAGCAAATATGCAAATATTTCATCATATGCATAAAATGTTGTAGGGTTTTGACATATTTGTATTTGCATATTCATACAGAATTTGTTTTCTCCAATGCTGAAAATTCCCTTTTGATATGGGCATGCATGCATGCATGCATGCATACATACATACATACATACATACATACATACATACATACATACATACATACATACATACATACATACATACATACATACAGACAGACAGACAGACAGACAGACAGACAGACAGACAGACACACAGACACACAGACACACAGACACACACAGACACACACACACACACATTGTTGAGTACTGTTGAAATGTGAGCTATTCACAATAATGAAACAGATGAATCATAACAGTGCATGTGTCACTGTGTTTGTTGTTTTTCGGGTACAATGTAATAAATTGTACATTCACAAGTTATGCAGAATGGTAGTGAGTGAGTTGCATAGTCACATCGGTAGCCATATCGTGACTATGAAAGTCGTAACTCTAAATTTGTAAATGTGTACATGAAATAAAAACAAACTTATATACTTACCTGTCTTCGAAGGACAGTAAAATAACTAATCTATCACAAATGTACACTAAAAACTGGCATGTAACCATAAACACTTTACCGGTACAGTATAAAATGAGCTATAGATTGCCAACACCTGAAGGTTGATCAACATACTAGGGACTACGGCACGAACAGTACTTTTGCTTCCTGCATTGACCCTAACTGGATTCTGTAAACAGAAATTATCTTGCAAATGTAACAATAAGTAAATATAGTCCCCAATGGAACAGCACAAAGCTAATTATAAGTTTGCCATTTCATCTAAGCTGAAACCAACAGAAACCTAGCGGAAACCTACATTACCCAGTATTCAATAGGTTTCCGCAATAGCGGAAACAAAGTCATTTCTCTTTGAATGTTTCAGCGAACTGAAACTAAATGGAAACGCATAATGATAGTTTCAGTTGTAGAAACTTGACGGAAACCTAGATTTGTTAGTTTCAGTTTTGTAAACTATGCGGAAACTCGCATTGTCTGTTTCCGGATACTGAAACCTAGCGGAAACCTACATTACCCAGTATCCGTTAGGTTTCCGCAAAAACGGAAACTAAGTTATTTTGTCAGCTGTGTCCAGAGGTTCAAAGCTGTTATGAACCTCTAACGGATCGTGCAAAGATACTTCAATGTGCTTAAGTTACTTGTTAGACTAACGCTTAGTCCCTGAATATATATAATTGTAATAGTAACAATTTATCCCATTTATACTGAAAAGGTGCCACTGTGAAATGTGAGATTGAAACTGTGGAAATCCAAACATGTTTCATTAAGGGATATAGCATTGCAGTGACGGCAAGGCAGTCGTGAAAATAATGTGGTTCAGGGACTGAGATTCAGACTAGGTTACTCGCGTTTGTTAGATTGATGAAGTTATCAGCTATATGTTAATTCATTTTGGACTGAGAGGATAGGAAAGGATAAATATATCTGCTTCTATATTCATCCATGTTTAAGATCAGCGCTTCTGGGAAGTAGTCGTGGGACGTGGATATCCATAAATTATTGATGGGGTACAGACTGCAAACACTCTGCATCTTGTTGTAGTGTCGAATGATGGCAAACATGGTTGACGTTTTGCCTTACTGGGATGTACTGACGAGATTGGAATATCCATGGCACATTTTGAAATGAGAAACTTTGCAATTCACGCCTACGTTGAACAAACGTCTCTTTAAAAGTTACATGAAAAAGAAAACCTAGAGTATTTCCTGGATTTGTGTTACACTTGTGGACATGTTTTCTCTATAATAGATAAAGTAGGCAGCACTCTCTGTCTATTACATTACTATGAGGCGGGGCGGTGGGGTAGCCTAGTGGTTATAGCGTTCACTAGTCACGCCGAAGGCCCGGGTTCGATTCCCGACATGGGCACAATGAGTGAAGTCCATTTCTGATGTTCCCCGCCCTTATATTGCTGGAATATTTCTAAAAGAATATTGTGGCGTAAAGCCCAACTCACTCACACACTCACTCATTCATTACTATGAGGCGGTGGGAAAAGCTAGGTGGTTAAGGGAGGTTCAGTTTCCATTCACTACATGTTAACAAACAGAAAAGCCAATACATGTATTTATATATATACTTTCTCACAATTTCATTAATCTAGTAGCAGTTGCTCATGTGAACATTCAACACTAGGTAGTGCGTACACTCTAGACGAAACATCCTTGTTGGCATGATACACGTTATTTGCGTAAAGTTTACGTCATCTTGGAGGTAATGTCAAGTGTCGTTACGACAATGAGCATTAGAAAATGAAGTCTAATGGGAAACAAATGCCTAGTTGTACATTACGCCTTGTTTACATGATGTCTACTTGTACATTATGCCTAGTTGTACGTGATGCCTAATTGTACATTATTCCTAGTTGTACCTGATGATAGGTTGTACATTATGCCTCGTTGTACATGATGCCTATTCATACGTTATGTCCAGTTGTACGTGATGCCTAGTTGCATCATGCCTATTCATACGTTATGTCTAGTTGTACATTAGGCTTCATTTTACATTCTGACTGTTTATTCATTATGAATATCGCTATGTGTGTTTAATTATGGATGTGTATGAAAATGTAAAACTTCGCTTCGTAATCATATTACACAATGGAAGACATCCTCGTTTAGCGTTGTTTTCAAATAGGCAAGCAATCCAGCAGAATATCAACAACATCAAACAAAGATGGCGAAGTCAAGTTTATTTCACGACCCGTTGGACAAAATTTGTGGTCGTTGGACAAAATCTGTGGTCGTTGGACAAAATCTGTGGTAAACGGATGCCTATTGTGATATTTCTAGCAGAAGTTGTCCTTGAGGACAAAGTACCGGAAGTAGACATGGGTATCAACGGGACTTCCGGAACATGACGATGTCCCGCCGAAATAATTAGAAAACAGAATGCCATCGACTTTCACATCCGGGGATTCTCTGATTACCACGTTACTGACGTCGTACACTTTACCAACGCCCCCAACAGCAATCCGAACGTAGCCGTCAGCCTGCCCGGGGGTGTTCAGGCGAACGGTTTGTTGGATTGTGTACCAGGTTCCGGTCTGGAACTGGAAACTTCCGCTGCCAAGTCGGTGTCCCCAAGCGTCGTTACACTCCACTCCTTCAGTGGCACAGAACCCCGGTGTTTGTTGAGCTGTGGTGAAGAGTGCCACTCCACCTACTCCACCTGTTCTCCAGATAAAGCGGGATGTGAAACAGTCCTTGCCTGGGTCTCCTCCAGCCGTACAGTTGACCCCGCCCCCGTACAGACCCGGCAACTTTCCACCGTAGGCGAAGTCGAAGTTGTCTTCGAACCACACCTTGTAGACTAGGGTCAAGCACTCCCTGGGCTCTAAAGGAGCGGAGTAGAACTCAGCTCCACTGAAGAGATCGGTGAGGCCGTAGGATCCCTGGGAGAGGGAGATGGCACTAACTTTGTAGGTACTCCCGTCGGGGTTGGGCTCAGCAGACACCGACTCCTGACCCCTGTACGTGGTACTGTCCAGGTTCCAGTTCCCGCGCCATATTGTGTTGCTTCTTGGCGTTTTAGAGTTCCAGAGTTTTATACCAGCTGGAAGGAGAACAAATATCGGCTGCTTTTGATTCATTGTTTTACATTAGTGTGTCGCATGTATAGTTCCATGTATTTTATGAAGACGAAGAACTAGCAGGAGTGTGTGTAGATATAAACAAGAATGTCTTCAACATGATGCAGTTAAATGCATTCATCTTCATTGATGTTAAGTGGTATATAGCAAGAGGTGATCATTGAGTTACACGTTTAAATTGTAAAACGAATATTGCCCTGCTGGGGTCCGAAAACATACCTGTGAAATGACTGAAGGTGATGGCAAGCAGAAGGAGGTATAACAGCTGAAACATCGTTCTGAAACAGTAACATGGTCATTGCAGAAACATTTACTTTGTAGAATTAAGGCCATCGCCGTAACTTGGTCTTAGTAAAAACATGAACATTGCAATAACATGGAAGGTACGATGAACATAATCTGACATGATACTGACATAATCTTATAGGAGATAACAGACATTGTTTGATTAACATCAGTGTGATCATATGTTTTACCTGTATCACTAACTTACAACTTTGTGTCAGATCATTCCAAACCGGGATTCGAACCAACGTTGGTGTACTACTATGACAATGACTCACAGTGCTTTAGACGACTTGTACAAAGCATCTATCGAACAAAATACAAATATGGGATTTGAACCAACGATCAAAGGTCTTTATCACGCCAAAATGATCCCTATACAAACTGGTCCACTTGTGACCCCATAAAAGTAGAACACTGACAGAAACATGCACATAACCGGCTAATACGTGTTGTAATAGCTCCGTCGACACCATTTGCTTATATCGGAATTGTATTATATTCAACATTCACTTGGCGATACCACAGTGTTTTTAGTATATAGTGAAAAAAGAACAAGAAAATAATTGTTCTCTCAGTATGTCAGTTCTAGCTACACATCTTAGTTTAGTTAAGCAAGCGTCACATAAAAGTATACAGCACCTGGAAGTGAACCATGAATCTTGAATACATAACATACAAACATGTAAATGGCTTAGTTACCTGTTTGGCTTTGTTCTATTCTGTTCTGACGACGCCGTGTGGAGTGAGGATTCTACATCTGTCCTCCACCTATAAATACCTTCATCTTATCATAGGATCGTTTCATTTGGTTTGTGAGATACGTTAACATTACCCCGTCATCAATATTTCATAACTTTATTAATGATGATAACAATACACATTGTTTCATTTACCCAAAGGACACGTTGACCTAGCGGAACACCACCTGTATGTCGACGTCACCACGAGTGGTCATGCAGCTGCTCATACTGCCACGGTGATTTATTATCTCTAGCGTCTTGTTTTTTAATGGTTTACACACTTCTAAAACGATCCTTCTTTTCGAGGATATTTTGTGTTGAGCTATTTATACAACCAGCCTTCAGTAAATTACCGGTCTTTTATCAAACACATAATCAACACATGATCACATCTAATTTTACTAGATATATTTTTAAAGTAATGACAGTGTCAGATTGGAATGATAACATGAAATAGTTAACTTTCTCTTCGTATCAAACAATATTCCAACAGCATCAGCCTTTGTATTCACATTTCACAGTGTTTGAGGTCCAATCGAGCATGCTTTTTTGTATGGTTTTGGTAACAGCGTCAGGCGACTTTGTTATGATCAACGTTAGAACATTCAATGCCTCAGAAAAGCGTTTAGAACATTTTTTGTGGAAAAGACGTGAAGAAAATTTGACTCGTGAGATGTCTTAATCTTATATGAATCAGTGATCTTTGAAATATTTCATAATCATATATTTTCATCATATATTTCATTAATTACCTGATTTTTGCACAAAAACAGGTAGATTACAATTGATCTCTGGTGATAGTTACATTATTTAGAAACTTCGTGAATCGTAAATTTTAATTATTTAACCCTGCAGCGATGCAGTGATACGTGAATCTGACTATGCCCCCAAACACTATGCTGGTCAACAACGTTTAGCTGCGGCCTAAAGCAGTTTCATACATTATGTCCTTCCCTGACTGGTAACAAATATTCTGATACAAATCTGATTGACTTCAGTTTGGTGTCTTTCTCTTTGTTGTAAGTATTCATTATTCTAATTGTATTCCAGTGCGAGTCTTATTGCTGATAACAATCTACATACAGATGTCCAGTGCCCACACGTGCCAGAAGTAAGACGGGTGTTATATAGTCTTCGATTGGCCAGTCCTTTCCAGGTGCAGCCAATCAGGTATCCTCCTTCAGGCTACATCCCATGTACGTGTATTGGGCATACCCGACAGCCTAATGCTCCCACCTGATACAATCTGTCATCATCTAATTACCGCTATACCAAGACTACTTTATATTTGTGGTCACACGGCAACGACATACTTTAGTTTGAAGTATACTTCGTTTATAAACAGACTTTGTTGGCATAAAGCGGTTGAGACAACAACTTAGTTGTGTGATAATGTTGGTGGTGTTCATAATGGTTGCTTTCTTGAACATTCCATGCAAATATTTGTAATCTGCTTTGAGTGTTTGTTCTGAATCAATACATGTGTTTGTGGAATGTGTTTTTCATGGTCGGTTTGATGTATAAGATATATTGGAGACAGTTTGTGGTTTTCAATCACTACTCCAAGACACTTTGCTTTATTTTTTGTCTCTTTTGCACACTTCTTTGTCCAGAAATCCCGTCATATTCTGTGGACAGAAAGTTTTACAACAACTCAACTCACTCTAACCAGCGGCATAGACAGCAGCTTGAGCTATCTCGACCCCACAATGGACTTAAGGAATGTTTCGATTAATGTAATTACACTGAAACAAATTAACACAAAAACCCTCCTTAAAATATACTCCATGTATTGCTGAATGAAACTGGAGACAATTATACACGTATCGGCTGAACTATAAAACATATTGAAACATGGATCGGCTTTCTCTCATTATGTTCAATAATCTGGACTCATTTGACTTGCGTCCAACACTATTCCCATTGCGCTGTTTTTGGAGGGTCACAAAATGGCAAGCTGAATATATGATAACAAAGCATATGCAAATAGGGAACTACAGCTTAGCTGACGTGTTTTTGCTGTGGAATGATTCATGAACGACTTGAAATGGTGAACGTGGCAATGAACATCATTCCATGCACAGTCAGGAGCTACATTGTATCCCTTCAGAGAAACCAATTACTATATTATAACTCTGATATTTCAGAGCAACTTCATTTCAGACCCCAAGGGGAATACATATCACATTATTAGGATAACTGACGCAAACTGACACATGTTAAGTTGTATTTCACAATACACAAAATTATGTATAAATTATGTGAAAATACACAAACCATTTCTGTGATGTCTCCCAATTTGGGTGTGAGATTGAACATTATCCCAGTCAAATATCACTTGTACTTTATAAGTTGTTGTTTTGTATATTTATAAATATATACTTCGTACAAATAGTAGGGGAAAGTGATTATCATCAAGTGATAGCTTCGGATGCATGATGTACGCCCCTCCTTTGAGGGAAAAGATATTATTCCCTTGACCCAAACATTCATCATCAGCTGGTGTACAACTGGTATGTCGAAAGCCAAAGAGTATTCTCCGCAGCCGAGTCAGCATCCCTCTCGTATACAAACTAAAACTGACTTGCCCGAGGGTGATGAACGGAACCCGCCCAAGAATGAGTGTGCGAAACAGTTTCCAAATTTTGCTAGCCAGTTGGGTTAGCTGCGCCTGAAAATTACCAGCCCACAAAATAATTCACTAGCCCGAAATTTGAATGCAGAAGCTAAGCAAAAGATTACTAAAAGGTGAAATACCATCAAAAACAAATACGAAAACACAGGTCTGAATTTCTGAAATATTATTTTTAATAAGTCACCACTATATGATGAACATTTTTTTTAGGCCAGTCGGGCCAGTGACAGTGGAGATTTACTGGCCCGACTGGACATTTACTAGCCTGGGGCTAGCGGACCAGTGGCTATTTCGCACTCTGCCAAGAATATCTTGGATGCCTACACGTCTGGTGTGTGCTAAAGCATCAGGATGGCCAAAAGTCCCAAGAATGGCAAATTATTGACGCAGCACTGGGACAGAACCATTCCAGTCTGTATTCCTGATGAGCAGAATATCTCCAGCGACTGTCATTGTATCTGCGCCGTGAAACAGGTGAGGTAATGGAATGAACCCTTCATCACTAGTGCCATTTGTTGTGTTCAGTTCCCTACTGGCCTCTTCCAATTATGTACCACTTGTTATTTCTATTACATGCTGTTGTTAATGTTAATCTGCTGCTTGTCACAACATACCATGTATATATGCTCCTCACCATTTGGTTGTAGTCACTTTTAGCTTGATAAGGATGTAAGAATCTACATCGAAACGTCGCTTAACGCAATAAACCAGAAGTTGTCATCCATAAAGTTGTATGTTTCATTTGTTGACTCACCAACTTCCAGAATGCCTATCATCATTTAATGAACCCTCATTTTCAACTGCAGCAAACCCGAAATTGCAAATCAACGTTCGCATTATCTTTCCTAAATTACGTGATGGGCCTATCACTGATGACCCACACATGGGCTCTATCAAATACGTGATGTGGCCGTGAACAGTTTGGTTTTTCTGTCAATTCGTTGTGTGTTATGTTCATATCCGTTCATAATTAAATTTGTGATTTACCAACTGAGAAACAAAAAAATCATTTCCACAGAATCAATTCCATAGCCTGCGGAATGGTCTTTGCACGACATTAACTGTCGATCGTACGCTGCTGCTCAAACCGGTATTGGGCACTGTTCAGGCGTGTCCCCGCAATATTTTGTCAGTGTTTCAATTCTATTGTGATGTTGGGTTGCAGGGATCAATGGCAGTTTCATAAAATGGTTCTTGAAGAGGCATAACAATACTATCGTACCGGTGTTCATACACCCGGACCCTGAAATTCCGGGTTAAAATAGGTGTTAAGCAACCCACGCTTGTCGTAAGAGGTGACTAACGGGATCGGGTGGTCAGGCTCGCTGACTTGGTTCAGTGGCACATGTCATCGTATCCCAATTGCATAGATTCATGCTCATGCTATTGATCACTGGATTGTCTGGTCCAGACACGATTATTTACAGACCGCCACCATATAGCTGGAAGATTGCTGAGTGCGGCGTTAAGCACTACCAACCAACCATCATACCTGACACTCCGACTTGTTGGGTAAACAGCCATAGAAAATCCCGAAGAAAAATCGATCGTACGATATTGACTATAAGATGAAAATGTGGTTATAACTCATTATCAAATGGAAAATATGAAGGCATAAATAACTGCAAAGGCTAGTCAGTTTTTCACCTGCGCAAACATGGGAACATATGGCATTAATCAAAATAAAGAATTGATTTACGGTAACATGTGGTACAGGTCAAAACATGGAATTGCATTTATGTCACTCTTGTGTTAAATAACGCGCGAAGATAACTGTATGTGTTTTCCTCATTCGGATTTCATTTATGTCATTTCTTCAGATTGTTCACTCTCAAGGTGGATGATATCATTCTGTATTGCAGAATGAAAAGTGATATCAACCGTAGCCAATGTGCCATGAATAGCATGTGTCGCTCTTAGCAATATTCAAGCGATATCACGGCAGGGGAAACCAGAAATAGGCTTCACATATTGTTCCGTGTAGGGGCTCGAACCCGTGTTTTCAGCGTGACGAGCGAACGCTTTAACCAATAGACTATCACACCTCCCAAAGACACCAAGAGGAGTTGAATATATATAAAAAGGGATGAACCTAATTGACAGTTTATACTTATCAGTCTTGATATGTTTGACTTTGGGGGAAACGAAGCTGTGATCTTCCATACTAGTTTTCCAATCTCCTCTGTAAACAGCAAAGAGATGCAGCTGCAGATACTGCTTCCGTAACAAAGGAGTGAGTGAGTTTAGTTTTACGCCGCACTCACCAATATTCCAGCTATATGGCGGCGGTCTGTAAATAATCGACTCTGGACCAGACAATCCAGTGATCAACATCACGAGCATCGATCTGCGCAATTGGGAACCGATGACATTTGTCAA